TGTTGGTTTGAGGTACTCTGGTATGAGAACCAGTTACAGCACATAGGGTTGATGAAGATGCTTTTCTAAGGTTCTTTGACTCTAATTGTGAAGGCAGATCAACTGTGGGAAGTGCTGCAGTCAGAAGTTTCTTCTTAAGTTTATCAAAGCTGGCTGATACCTTTTAGAAATATTAGTCCTGTGTCTTGATAGCTGTAATTCTAAGTAAATGTAGGATTTGGTGGAAAACAAGCTCTCTCAATGGTGTCTTTTTTAAAGGTGACTGAAAGCTGTTTGCAAGCTGCTTGGTTTGCACATTATATTTTTATTTTAAATAAGATGTATTGTGAAAAATCACATTATTAGTGCTAGTGAAGGCAGGTTAGGTCTCCTCATTGATAATGAAAAGCAGTCATTTTGCAACAAGGTGCCATGTAACCTCCACTGCAGCTCTACTGGGATGCATGCTTAGGTAGGCTTAAATCACTGACAGTCTGTTTAAAATCCAGTAATATGGGATTAGGCTACTTTGTTTGTGAGCAGAATAATAAACTTTATGATTAAGTCAGACATAGCAGTCTTTCCAAGAAAATAATTTCACTAGGAAATACAGGTGTAAAATGAATAATATGAATGAATGACAGATGCTAAGACAAGAAGTATTTAGGTGCAGGGTATAAGCTAAATAACATGTCATTGCAATACTTGACATGGACACAAGGCCTAACCAGACAATCCGTAAAACTCTTTAAGTTTTATTTTTGAATTTTTCAGATTGTTCCAGAGGAAATAGCTGATTTTTTAATCTCAGATGAAAGATGCCCTGCTGGTCTTCTCTCTGTGAGATCCAGTGAGAGGATCCATGGGAATAGCTCAAAGCTTTGCCAGGGGAAGTTTAAACTGGACATTAGGAAGCCATTATTTACCAAGGGTAGTCAGACTCTGGAACAGGCTTYCTGGAGAGTGGTCTATGTCCCAAGCCTGTCAGTGTTTGAGGCATTTGGACAGCACCCTTAATACCAGGCTTTAACTTTTGGTCAGCCTTGAACTGTGCTCTGATCATTGTAGGTCTCTTCCAACAGAAATAGTCTGTTCTAAGTCTGAACCTCTGTAAATCACCTTAAGAGGGCTTGTGTGGGAATGTTGTCAGGCAGATGACCTTAGTCACAAACACAGTGAAGCATCTGGCCATTTTGTGCAGTTATTTTGCCTAATTGGGATGAACTGTGAATGGAGGCCATTAAAAGCTGCTTTCTCTTGATAATGTGCTTTCATTTGGCTTCTAGGGAACTGCAATTAATTTTAGGAATTGATTTCTTGTTTTATAGTGGTTCTTTGAAAAAAATACTTTTTTCCATTCTTCTAGATGAAGTTTGACAAAGAGGGAAATACTACCTATTTTGGTAAGTTTTTATTGTAGTTTTTTGGGGGATTTGTTTGATTTTTTTCATTGTTCAATACAGAAGAGCCAACTGGAAATCTATATGGGTTAAAAAAAATCATGTTTTGGATACTTCACTGTTTATTTGGGATTCTGCAATGTTTCCTCTGTTTTGCTGCCTTCCACTGGGCCTTCAAAGCCTCTTGATTGTTACAGTTTTTGTAYATTTTTAAATAATATTTTGAAAATAATGTATTACCATCTCTCACAGGAAGGTAATTTTTCCTTTGTCATTTTTCCTTCTGACCAGCATGCTACTTTCTCTCCCTTGTTTTTCCCTCTAGGATTCTCAAAGGAGTTGCTTGTTTTTGATGTGAAATTAATTGTCGTGGCCAAATTTTTCACTTATATCTAGATTTTTTCATTCAAGATTAAGTCTTCTAAACTTTATAGAAAATAACTGAGATTGAGGAGTTTATGGGAGGAAAACTTTTTAAGATAGCACARCTGGGGTTTTTTGTTGTGGGACTTAGTAGCACACTAAGATGTCATTTCAGAACATATGCTTCCCCTCCAAATGTCTTCATTTAAAAATATTTTCATGATAGAAAAGAAGAAAACAGAATTGTACCAGGAACTGGGTCTTCAAGCTCGAGATCTAAGATTTCAGCATGTGATGAGCATTGCAACCAGGAATAACAGGATCATCATGAGAATGGAGGTAATGGTTTCCCTACAGTTGAGTGTAAACCCTGTCTTATCCTTGCACTTTGATTTTCTTGCACGGCTCTATAGTAGCTTTTTGTGAAATGCAGTCCAGCAGTAAGTGTGTCTTTGGAGTTCTGCCTAGCAGTCAGAGTGCGAGTTCCCCAGCTGTACACATCAGTGACCATTTCCCTGGTTGAGGACATAAGAAGCATCGCTAACATTGTCACAAAAGGAAAGGCTTGTGAGAAGCCTCTTCTCAATCCCTGGCACAGTGCCAGGGATTGAGCCTCTTCTATCTGAACCTGTTTGCAGTTAACAGAATTTCATGCTATTTTCTTCCTGAAAAGACATTTGAAGATTGGTTTTATCAAAGCCCAAATTRGCAAATATACTACAGTTATGAGAAATCTTTGTGGAGTTTTTTTTCAGACTTCTTATATGTATTGTCTTTTTCAGTTCTTGAAGGCTGTGATAACACCAGAGTTTCTTCTGATACTAGATTATCGTAATTCTAGTCTGGAACACTGGCTTCTCAATGAACTAGCATCTCAGCTGTCTGGGGAAGGTCAGCTAGTCACATATTCCCTGCCCTTTGAATTCCGAGCCATAGAAGCAATCCTGCAGTACTGGGTGAGCTATCTCATTTTTTTTTAAATGTTTAGGACGTTCTTGTTACATAGGAAAGGCAGTATGAATTCAGTCTTGTGTCAGTATTTACATGTACATATTTTAAAATGTATTCTGCACTTCCTCTTTTTTTGGTTTTGACTCTTGTTGCTTTAGTTCTTACAGTTCTGTGTGTATGTGTGTTTTCATTCTCTTTCCAGTAAGATGCTTTTTGGATATGATGGCTTCACCATCATTTGGGTAATTAACAAGTCAGAGCTCCTTTCTAGTGACATGCTGTAGCTGAAATGGAAGACACACAAAAGTGCTGAGTCCTCTTGAGCAGGAGTCAAATCAGATTTCTAGCTRTCTTAGAAATCTGCTTGCTAATGCTAATATGACATTTCTAGACAATAGTGTTTTTTAGCTTTATCAGCCTTATTGGTGTAGCTGTCACTGGGTTTCAGTTCACTTTTTATTAAACATTGTATTTTGCACTGGCTTTACGTTGTAAATGGTATCCATATAGCAAGTATTTTCCAGGCACTGGAAAGCAGGTTGTATTAACTACCTGTTACTGTGAATTCTGTGTTGAGAGACAGGAATCAGTTGCCCAAATCATTCTAAATGGATTATTTTAATTCTTATGAAGGATCATGTTGTTATCTAGATCAGCAAACTGCAGGGAAGACTTAACACTTTGCAGCCTCAGATCCTTGAGACACTGGAAGCTCTGGTTGACCCCAAGCTTTTATCTGTGGATAGGAGTAAACTACACATTCTCCTGCAAAATGGCAAGAGGTAAATAAGCTGTGTAGAGACTAGATGACCACAGAAAATGGCATGCATTGAAATGTTAGAAAAATGGTATCTGATATTAATTTCCTAGATTACTCTAATGCTGGGTTGTGTATCTCTTTTAGAAATGTAAAAAATCAGTATATGACATACCTAGTGTAAKGGGGGTAAAAGGAAATAAATTCTAAATTGTCACATATACTGTCAAGCTTCTTAAATCTGACAGAAGAAAGTAATACCTAAGAGAATGGAATAAAGAGGAAATGTTCCCCATAATGTGAACCTTTGTAAATCTTTGCTTTAAGGATACTAGTACTAGTACAGTGATACCTTAATGTATTGGCCCCTCTCATATCACAGTGCAAACATGCGCTTGCTACTTGCTCAAAGGTGCTTGTTTTTTTCAGGCTTACAAATTCATCCAGAAACACATCTGGAAGCCTTTTAGTGCATGTCTGTACCTCACTGGTCCCCAGGCAGATCACTGCCACAGCAAAGAGTGKGGCTTGTAGAGAATGTTTTGAAGGGTCTCTCACAATCCCACAAGGAAATCTTCCCTGTCCATTCGACCTGGTGAGGGTGCTGGCTGGCAAACTCATGTAGAGATTATCTTTGGGCACTGGGGTCGCTGGGGATTACTTGACCTTTTGCCTGTTCTTCCTTCAGCTTGTCAGAACTGGAAACAGATGTAAAAGTTTTCAAAGAAACAATTCTGGAGATCTTAGATGAAGAAGAAGTAATAGAAGAGCTCTGTCTGTCTAAATGGACTGATCCACAAGTATTGTATGTATTTTTTGAAGCCACATACTTTTTTTTAAACCCTGTATTTTGTTTGAGGAGAACTTGAACACTGAAYGCGACGTTTCCTGCTAAATAGCAGAAAGAAAAGGTCTTCCTAATTTTTTTTAAGTCCTAATGCTTTCTACTTAGAAATCATTGTAGTTGCCATTTTGGAGAGGAACTCCGTTGTTACACAGTTGCAAATAGTTCTTGGCACAACAGGCCGGCTTATCTAGTGTGTGATGAGATAGGAGCAGGATGGCAGAAAAAGCCAATGTTGTTTTTCARTATAAATCGACACATTCTGGGAGCGTTGTCCTCAGTTTCACCAAAATAAAAACCAGAGACAGGTTTTAAAGCTTGTCTTGAATATGTCAGGCACCACACTTCCTTTACTAGAAKTGTTCTGAACACCTTCCTCCTAGCTTTTTGCTCATTGGCAGAACCTTGAGGGAAAGAGGCTGTGAAGCACTTTTGGGCACGTGATGAATGGCATTCCAGGAGATGAACATACAGAGACAATCCTATTGCACTCTGGGGTGCTAGTAAAAGACAGCAACGGCAGCACTGATCACTTTATAAAAACTAAAACAAAAAAGATGATATAATATCYAAATATGTTTTCAGCTGAATTGTATTTAAATTTTGGGCACAGAGATGCATTTTATGTATAGGCAGATAACAGAAGCTACCTTCCAGGGTACTTTGTGAAGTTGCTGAATAATACTTTTGGCTAACTGCATTGCATGTACATATTAATATCATTCACATGGTAGTACAGATTTGAAATCTTGCCCTACTGAGCTTAATCAAAATGTGCAGCAGAAACTCAGTGTTCCAGAACTGGGACATGATTTGCATTTCTAATACATCGTCTGGAGCAGTATCAGAGGTRGCTCTAAATTCCAGCTGCTCCTGAGCCAGCAGCTGGTCTTTTTCCTGATTTTGCCCAGAGCATGGCTAAGTCTGCTGCCAAAGCTTTTATTGCCTCATGGTAGAAAACGTGTAAGGGACATCTAGGAAAAATCCCAGTGTCACCTTATGCTCGTGTCAAGAGAAACCCATAGGCATCCATTCTTTTCAGACACTGTTGCACAAGGGTAAGAGRGGTAGTAGGAGGTTGTGTGAAGAGTGCTGGAGCTGTGCTGCAGGATGCAGAGAGGCAGTCTGCATGAGGCACATCAGCAAACATTAGCTATGACAACACATTTGCAGGCAGGCTGGCAGTGTGTGAAYAGTTCTTTTTCACTTCAGGATTGATGCAAATGATTTGTGGTATTAGATGAACTCATGAAGCTGGAAAGGATGTGGAGAAGCCCAGTTAGGCAGATAGGGGTYGTCAAGAATTTTTGCAGCAGAATGTTAAGCTTAGCCCAGAAAGATGAGGCGACCTCTTAGCTTTGTGTGAAGGAATGTCAGARTGTGGAAGACTCATGAGGCAGATGGAGGCTAGTTAATGAAAACACATCCACTGGCAGTTATTTTCATGTCCTTATGGCTGTCTTTATTTTGTACATTCACAGAGGAGCTGGTGTAGATGTAAAGATACTCATCAAGTATGATCTTGAGATACTCATCAAGTATGAATCTGTAATACCACAGATAGTGCTCTAAGACTTTCAAGGCTGCAACTCCTTTCATCTTCATGCAATGAAAACCTCAAGGTCTGGAGGGCTTTCAGATCAGGTTGGCTAACCCAGAGTTTCTGCCCCACAAGAGAGTAACTATGTGCTCTGKTAAAGGTCCTAAGGGAGCTTACAGGAGTTGGTTTGTAAGACATACTGCTTATTTTCTTGGAAAACCATTTCAGACAGTTTCCTTTAGCAGTCAGTAATGCCAGGAGATTAATTAAAAACTTCAGTCTCTCTAGAGAAATGAGAAGAACAATCTTCCTGGCTTTGCTGCYTAGTTTCCAAGCTCTTGTGAACCGCCGGTGCCTCGGGTTTCATGTAGTCAATGCCAGAAACATAYGTATTTTAGAGGAAGGCTGCTGCGCCAGCAGTTGCACCATGAAGCAACATGAAAATCTCTCAGATTTCACTTAAGAGCATCTTTCATTGGATAGTCACTCTTGGCTGCTTCATGATCCCTAAATGCTTTGCAGTAATTGCTGTGTGTAGATCAAATGCTTTACAACTAAACCATTTTAATATACACCCTAAACCATCTCCATCACTGTGTAATTGTATGTTGACTTTTGGTTATGTTTKATTCTTGGGATTTTTTGACTGTACTGTTACTATCTCCCACCACTTGAGGGCACCAAGAAGTTAAGCATCTCCTGTCAAAATTGTTAGCATTTTATAGTAACTTAATATATAATATAAAATTTATATAACTAACTGTAATATCTGAAAAACTTAAGTTTTGTGGTGGTAAGCATGCTTTGAACACATCAGTTGCTAACTGCTCTACTATAAATAATTGACTGCTTGTGCTGAGCTGCTGATAAATATAAAAATATTTCTTTTATTTTATGGTGTTGGAATTGATGGAAGCTTCTCACCAAAAATATTGTATTTGGTGGTGTAGTGTCTAACAGTACTCTTGTTTCCCACCATTCTTATATGTCTTAACACATTAATAATACACTTCTACACACTATGTAGCTAACCAGGAAAATATATATTATGTGCAGTGAGGAGAGTACRTCTGGGATTGACCATGCAGAGGAAATGGAGCTGCTGTTGGAGAATTATTACAGACAAGCAGAAGATCTTTTAAATGAAGCTCGTGAACTCAGAGTACTGATTGATGACTCAGAAAGCATCATCTTTATCAACCTTGACAGGTTAGTTACCATCTGCTACATTACCAAAAGCTGAGCAGATTTTACTCTTTCTTGGCCTAGACTTTCTCAAACCTGCCTACAAGGAAAGTTGGAGAATTCCCTCCTAGTGAGGGTTGAATGGATTTGTAGTCACAGCTGCATTTCACTTTTCTTATCAGTGAACTGGATAAAGCAAAGCAACAAGATAGCCTAATTAGTATGTGTAATTAGTATGTACCTCTGTAGCTAGGCATCAGTTTTCTCTAGCAGGAGAAACCTAGCTTCTCTTAGMTGCTTCTGGGAAGCTACTCAATACTGGAAATGTCTGGAAATTTAGAGCCATATTAAAATTCTGTTCAGAAAATATTACTTGCCAGARTCTGGTTAGACTACTCAGGTGTTCAGGACAATTATTACTCTGTAGAGTGATACAAGAATTAATAACTTAGAAGCAAGTTTTCTCTTTATGCATGTTACATTTTTCACTATTACATTTTCTACTGAAAAATAATTGTAGCTTGCATTTACAGTAACATGCCACTCTGTCTTTGAGTATTTAATATTCTCATCTACATTGTGGAATTATCTGTAGAATCAATTAGTGGATGCTGCATCAGTAAACAAMAAAAATCTTTTAATGGAAGACTTGAATATGGAATTCACCAAGACAGGCTCAAGTTTATACTCTGCAGCATTTACCAACTCTGCTTTTTTTAAAGTATTAATTTGCAAGGTAGCAGTAAATTTTTGTTTGCTATGAAKATGGACATCTCAATTCCAGCCAGACAGTGGTGARAGGRCACAAAATTGAGCAGAAATGTAGAGTTACTTTGTGTATATACACCTCTGAGAAGTGGGCARTGCTGGAAAGTCTGATGATGGTTAAGCAGAACCTGCTGCCTTTAAAGGTGTCCTGATGTAGCAATGCCAAAGCAATAGTCTCTTTGTACTGTTGTGTCATGATCATTGTCACTGGGTTACCTAATTCCAGCATGACTTCCTTTTTTTCAGTATTTGATTTTTGTGCATGCTATATGGAATTTGAGAATTTAGGCAGCAAATCAATTTTTGGGTTCCCCTTACAGATGTTTCTCCCTTCTTTAGCCACCGTAATGTGATGATGAGGCTGAACTTGCAGCTGACCATGGGGACTTTCTCCGTCTCTCTCTTTGGACTCATAGGAGTTGCATTTGGTATGAACTTGGAGTCATCTCTTGAAGAGGTAAGGARCAAGTGCTGTGCTTGTAATAAAATGTGGGCTCTGATCTTACAGTGCATTTTGTATTTGGTACAACTTCATTCTTTCCATAGACAGAATTCCAGTGATTCATGTGTTCATGCAATAAGCAAATTAGTSCATGGCAAACAGTATTGCAGTCTTTTTTCTGTGTCACTCCCATGCAAAAGAAATGGGAAGACAAATTTTTGGTTGTATAAATAGTTGACTATAAAGTAGTATTAAAGTTTCTTTTATGATCATCTATTCTGACAAGACTAGCCTTGTCTTCCAGATACAAAGCTGGCATGTAGCCAGGGCATTTCCAGCACAGCAGAGGAAGTACTCTACTGTCAGCACATATTTATACCTAAGACTGGGGAGGTACAACTTTAAAACTGCACATGCCACCTTTAAAATAAACAAACAAAACCAAGACTTCTTCCTTTTCAAATTAAATATACGGGTTGAATTTTCAGACTTCCCAATGAAGAAAGGAAAACTGCATGAGACAGTAACAGTATGATGATCCTAAATAAAATGATTTACTATGAAACAGCCCTTTTCCCAAGGGAGGGCTTGGCTGTTGATGGTAGAGAGTTTACTGCTTCCTCCTGTAAAGGAAGAAAACACYGGTGAGGAGGGATAGATTATTGTCAAGTAATCCCTTTTCTGGAGAGATAGTTGGATGACTAATGGGAGTGTTCTGTTCGTAGGACCCCAGGATATTTTGGCTGGTGACAGGGATTATGTTTCTGGGAAGTGGTCTAATTTGGCGGCGCTTACTTTCCTTCCTCGGGCGGCACCTAGATCCTCCRCTACCTCCTCACGTACGTATGGCTGGCCGAGGTTCCTGCCTCCCACTCTGCATGTACAGTCCATTCCTAAGGCAGAAAATAAGATGGCTTAGAGGGGTAGGCCACAAAGCACGGCAGAATTCAGCTCGGGGTCTGCTCCATGACACAGAAGGTGTGCCCTAGCTGGATTGAAGGAGATGGGGGAGCCCCAGCACTGGCCAGAAGTGAATTTGCAGGCTGTTCCATGAGATGTGCAGTGTTTACTTTCACCTGGAAGCTCAAGGAAAGCTGAGGCTAATGGGAAAAGCAGCCCTCGTTCTCCCGCCCACATAACTAACTCTGGATCTGTAATTCCTGTCTTGTAAGAGTAAACAGAGCTGAGAGCATGGTGAGGACAAGTACTAGCTATAACGTATCTCTGGAGAATGATGCCATGGTTGTGWTGTCCTGACTATAAGTCTGAAGTTTGTAATATGCAAACTTTCTCATATGCATTCCAATTGTCTTTGTCATTGATGGTACCAAGCTTTAGGAAGATTTCCAAGTAGCCCGTGTTCAGTTTAGCATATATGGGTTATTTTCCCTATTGACTACCCTTTCCTGGATTTGTGGACACGTATTGTCTACTTCAGCTAGGCACTATAATTTTTATTGTATCAGTAGAGTCAAAAGTTAAGTTGCTACAAGTGACAAAGGGAAGCTCAGATGAACTCCCATTCTTCCCTCCCCTCTTTTGCTACTAAGAAGCAGATGGAAGTAGTTCCTTGTGGATTGTTGAMTATGGCTACAGTTAACTATAATATTCTTAAATGTAGCTCAAAGCCAAGTCCAGCACATACTGACTGCCTTGGAGAAAGGTACTGGAAGGTATTAGCGAKGGAGAAGCCAAAGACACTGTTCTGAAAATAAGGGGAGAAAAATCAGGGTTCAGGCCTCTAAAGCTTTATTTCTTTCTGCCACATGTAGAGTGATTTCTCAGGTAATCACAGGCTCTTTTGTTTCTTGCCTAGGTTCCTGCCGCTTTGAAAAAATCCCAACCAGCAGCTGGAAGAGTAGAAATAAAGACCAGTCTTAAAGGAGAAACGTATGGGCTGAGCAGAAACACATTAACAAACCAGTAGGAACAACAGGAATGAAGAGACTTTTGTTGTCACAGGGTGGATTTTGGACACTTTCCTTGTATTTGTTCTTCCTTACTGAAAACTGCAAGAATTTCTAAACTTGCTAATTTAATATATATTTGTGCCAAAAACCTACAGGGAGATTGTTAATGCTCACGCACAAAAGGAGAGAAACRCAATGGAAAATGGCAGAATGCTTTCTACAGTAGTTTTACCTCCACCCCATGTATGTGCCTTTAGTTTTCTGTATCACATACATGTACTTTCTTTTTGGGCATTCTCATTTTAAGTATTTCTGTCAAATACTGCTTTGCTTAATGGCCTTTGTTACAGAGAACAGAATTCTTSGCTTAAAGGAAAACAGCAGTCAACATTGATCAATAATTCTGGTTCTGACCCATGGATTTAGGAATTTGACGTCAAACGTCAAAGAAAAATGCACGCCAAGAGTGCTTCTTGGATGGATTTTCAATGCCCTATTTAATTGCAGAGAACATGTCTTCCAAAGCAAAAAGGATACCTGCATCTCTCGTGAATCATGACTTTGAGATTGGCAGCAATGAGAAACAATAGTGTCTCTTATTTTACGTGAGCAATAAAAGACTTTRAAATGTAGCTACTAATCTTGGATATTCCTTAACAATTAATCTAGGCCCAAAACATGCAGTTTTAGGAACTGCAGAACTATGTTTTAGCAGRCCTATAGATAATGCCATTTGTGTTTTCCATCTGACACTTATTTCAACACACATGGATACAGGTGCATTTTTRCAACTCCTTGTGTTGTCATAATTCAAAATCTTGTAAAAATCAACAACTGGGTTGTGCTGTCTTTCCCCCAAGACAAAGCAAGGACTAGCCTGCACCACATAAGTAGCCAGGTTAGTCAAAGGTGTAGAAGCCTGATGTCCTGTGATGGGCTGAAGGAAGGAGAAAAAGCTGTATGCTGGCTATTTGTTTTTTCCTAGGACTTCTCTCTGTGGGTGTAGTTCTCCACTGGTTGTAGAGGGAGCATGAAATATTTCTAAATCACATCACACACTTTTTGTTTGGGTTTTTTTAATCTCTCTGTAACACACTGAGCAGCTCCTTAGGTGCCCCCACATAAATCACTGTACTGGCAGGTGTTGAAAAGACAGTAGTTGTAGCTGCGAACTATTTTCTCAGGACTAATGAGTCAAGATGGAAATTAAAAGGTTCATAAAGGTGTGTAGGCCTGTGATCAGATTTGGTTTAAATGGGTTGTACATAGTTACTTTCCAACAGTTCTTTATGTGACTTTAAATACAGATACTAGTGGCATGAGAAGGTGAGAAAAATAATGGAGCTTTTAATACTTTTGAGTTTTTAGCTGTTTTGGTTTTTTTTTGCAGCCTTTTAGCTTAGCAGGTAAAATAGTAAAACACCTCCAAACTGAGCAATTTTTTTTTGCTATTTGTGCAAAGTCCTTACCAATAGATACTTGAATGCATTGTACATYAAACTAATGTTCACATTGCTTTTATTTGTTTAAAACAACCACCCTGAGAGAGAATTCCTAGGAAGGTCAGGTGTTTAATTTTGGAATATAACCTTTAGAATTCTGTGATATTTTATTTAAAATAAAAATAATGCTTTGCCTTTGTGAAGGAGGCAAGAGAGAGAAAACACACGTGTCTACAGACTGGTGTTGGTAATAATAGCATCAACACATTCTGCTGCWCAAGTTGTTTAATAGATAATTGATGCACACTTTGTTAAACCTGCATCATACAAAATTAGTGTTAATTAGTACAATACTGTTAACAGTAAAAGCCATTAACAATTCTGCATTACTATGGTCATGGAATTTTATACACAAGCAGTAAGGATATCAGAGTAATCAGCTACACTTGCAAAAGCATTTCCTAAAACTTCATCAGTCTGCCTTGTTCTTTTCTCCCTGGGAAATCTGARCTGCAYTACACCCTCAATGCAAGTCTCAATMTTTAAGAGAGAGACAGTCCTGTTGATTGGTCCCCACACTCCTGTCAGTCTTAAACCTGCCCCTCCTCCATGCRTACTATTTTGACAGTTACCTTCCATAACTTAGAATCCTTATCACAGTATTTAAGGAATTGTAAATTATGTGCTGYAGTTTCCCAGTTTTGTCAAGAAGATACTCAAATCTGGCCAACAAAGAAAGTGGTCACAGAAAATTCCTTATACAGTCAAATACTACTAGCAAAAAGGCAGCTGCCTGCTCATTTCAGCCTCTAAAAGGTTTTCAGACCATTTGCTTGTTTTAAGTAAGTGATGCTGTTGCCCACAACAGAATTCAGCAAAAGCTTGCTGATGAGTTYTGTTGGTTTGGGTGGGTTCAGGAAACTAGCACCAATACTACTTCACTAGAAGAACAGCTATGCCATGGTATTAAAGGCTACCGTGAACTTTTAGAGAGAGAAGACAAAAATCCTTCCACCAAGTCGAGCTTTCGCAGAACTTCTCTCTGCTGCCACTACRACTTCTTTCTGCAGAGATAAAGAGCAAAGATTAGCAAAATGCAACTGCAGGTGCATGGCTGCCTTAAGCTTCCCTAGGGGAATTTGACCATCTCATTAGTCATATGAAATGGATGGGAAATGAGAGAGCAGCTCACCTGTTGGAGGTTAGGATTTTTCCTTTTGTTCTTAAGGAATTTTGTCCCATCTGTTGCTARGACWCAATAAYGACCAGTACTTAAGACATAAGAACTAGCCYAGCTCTGGGGGAAGRGTGCACCTGGCTACTTCCTTATCWGGAGGGGGTGTCTYTTGGARRGGTGGAGATACCGCGACAATTGKGGCTAGGAAAAAGGGGCTGGGCACAGCTCCTAGCTCTCCTGCTCTCTAGGTATTTGGAGGGGAGACAATCTGTAGTTGCTGCAGGAAGAATCCACCACCACTGGGGAGTTCCATCTCCTACTTCTACTGTGAGTGAGGCTCTGCTCTTAAAAGCGGCCATTGAACTGAGACCTTWTTAACACSTTACTTCACGGGAAAGGACACTCAYCATCTACTCGGGTGCTGCAAGGAACCCTGTCCCTCTGAGGCAGCCTCTCCCGGTTCAGGAGTCGGGCTGTTTTTTCCCTGCCACTGCTCCGAGTTTCTGCTACACTGTAACCCTGCACTCCTGCCTGCAGAGACACACCACAGCTCCAGCCACAGCTG